GATAGACCGATTGCGTAACAGGAAGGTTCAGTTTCATTATGAGCGGACTATGATCAGAAATGACTATCACTCCTTAATCACATTCACTCACTAAGGGTAAAATCCGTTTATCAAGGAGAAAGTAGTCAATCCGTGAATAGCTCTTATGAACAGGGGAAAAGAACGAATACCGTCTCARGGTCGGATTACAAAAACGCCACACGTCAACCACTCCATAGGTGTTAAGAAATGAATTAATTGACTGGGCCGATTTAGAAAGAGAGATCCTCCCCACTGTACTACGATCGAGGGATGATGGCACACAGTTCACATCTCCCCCAGTAATGAGATTATGTGTTGAAACATTAGGTAAATTTGAAAAAAAGCATTTTAAAATGTTTGATTATCCCAATTTGGAGCATATATCAAGATTAAAATGACAGGAAGTGCATATAGTTTTCCCACCACAATAACATAACGTCCAGCGTGTCCGTTTTAATACTGGATGCTGTAAATTGCACCTGTTTACTAACTAAGATGGCTACCCCCCTCCATTTAGAWTGGAAATTAGACTGAAACACCTGACCAGACCAGCACCTGCTTAGATTTGCACTGTCTGCCTTATGCAAATGGGTCTCCTGCAAAAAAGTAATATTAGCATCAACTTGTCTTAAATGTGCCATAACTTTCCTAAATTTCATTAGACCATTGAGGTATTTCACATTCCAACTCACACAGTTAACTGGGTGACTGTTGATGAACCTGGCAATATTAGAACTGCTCATGTATGGTCACTTGGACTGTAGTACAATATCCACAAACCATCACAAAAAAATAACCTGAAAAAGACATTCTCAAAACAAATATGTAGATCCGGTATAGTCCCACCCCTTTCTCTCCAAAAAAAAAAAAAAAAAAACGGAGAACCCAACAAACAAAATTCCACTCATTTGTGCTTATGCTGTGGGGCTCAACTCCCTGTCTGGACTCCCGCCATAACTAAATAACAAATACAGAAATATATATATAAAAAAGTGGTTCCCTTACTTTAAAGTATTATTACTGTTTATGCTCCTTGCAGCACTGATAAATAAATCACTAACCAATATCTGAACAGACCCCCTGTGAAACTATCATATATAGAACAAAAAGAGGAATATTGTCCCTGAGAATAATGTCTGAAATTAAATCAAGATATAACGCGGGACATAAAGTTGAAAGGTTCATTACAATATGACAGTCACAATGGATCGATGAGGGCTGGACCTGCGTTCAACGCCGGTCCTCGCTGTCCGTCGCCGAGATGATCCTCATTTTAACGTAGACCATTGCTTTATTGGCATCCAGGAACTCCTTGCTTTCCTCCCCATGAGAGATGCGGAGCCATGCAGGAAAAAGCAGGCCATAGCGAACATTATGTCGGTTGCAAAGATGCCTCCTCACCTCCGTAAATGCTGCTCGAGCCTTGGCCACAGCTGCCATGTAGTTAGATGTGATTGTGATTGGTATCTCTTTAAAACGAAGAGGACCACGACTCCGAGCCCGACGCAGTATTTCCACACATTCTTGATAATAGTCCATTTTAGCGA